AAAATATCTCACAGGCAATTCTAACTGATAGGGGGACTATTCTCAACACCTGTCAGTGGTGTCCCCTACGAACCTCCAGCTCTCACTGTAGAGTCTGCAGAGCCGAGATTGAGTAACAAAGTCCTCACATCGACAAGGATTCCCAATCGCTTTCGCGGTCTGTATCGTCTTCAACTCTCAACACATCCCCCTATCACCATAATCATGAAGCTAACCACGATCAGATCTGATGGTAGGGTCGGAGTCCTACTCATCACCAAACCTTGACCATGGAGGAGATGCCATCTGATGAGTTTCCGGAGCGTACACAGCACCCGATATGGAGATGGCGGATTGGATCAAGTCGACCTCGACTGTTACAAAGAAGGGAGATATAGATGAATATGCGCACCTCATGTGGTCCCGGTGTCTAGGCCTCGCCTGCCTGGGGCTGCAGGTTTTTTGAGACTTTTTCCCGTGCACGCAGTTTCCATTGCTACCATTTTTTTTTGGGTAGAAGGTTCCGTGGAAAAGGTGGCCGAATTCCACGGGTAAACACTGAGCTGAATGGCTATTCATCAAGGGGAATATATCAATGATCTTTCAAGTAACAAAAGATGATAGGAGCACTGTACAAGGTGAGGCCTGGGTCAGAGGGGTGCCCAATGTGCTAGATAGTCGCAGACTCAAGTAGTACAATAAACACAGACAGACATATCACCCATCTCATGAAATAACCCCAAGTCACATGAATCCTATGTCCAAGAGGGTAAATAATGGCTGAAAATCGCTGATGCATGTGCGTATACTGTATCCTGTGCTACTTAAGTTATAGACTATCTAGCATATTTGGCTCCTCTCTGACCCAGGCCTCACCTTTTACGATACTCCTTGCCTCTCATGTTTCTTGAAAGTTCTCTGATATATTGTTGGAAAATGAAGTGTAGTCTTATTAGTAACGATCACCTTCATTACGTAAGGGTTCCTAACGCAATCCCTATACAGTGCCTCTAGGTTCCAAAAGGTAAAACTTCAAACTGGGTCGTTGAAGGGATCAGCCCTGTAGGCGCAGTTGGGCTAGCTCGTAATAGGTTAGTATGTCTCTCCTCCTTATCCCGCTCGCCATGAAGTGTGGTCTAATTGTCTACTTCTAATAATCGCTTAGCAAAACACAATTTCAACGACATTTTTGGCTGCCAAGCCTAAACAGTCACTGAAACTTCTCACCACTATCAATTCATCCTCTATTCTAGCAAACAATGTCTCTCCAAAAGTCTGCTTCAGAAACTAAAGTTCGCAAGCATCTAACTCGCGATCAGGGTATTGAAATAAGAGCATTAAGAAGACTTGGCTTGACACTTCAAAATATATCCGACAAACTTGGCTTCACAGTAAGACAAGTACAACTTGCATGTCCTCGAGAGAGTGTGAATCCTATGTCTTGCAAAGGACCCTCACCAAATTAAGCGTGGAACAAGATGATGAGCTTGAGGCTTTCGTCTGGGAATCTTCTGAAAATCGACAGATATGCTATTTGAAACTAGCAATGGGATCCTTCAGCCACTAGGGATGCAGTGAACGTTTAATTTCTAATGCACTCAAAAAAAGAGGTTACAGCAGACGCATTGCTCGGAAGAAGCCTCCGTTAAGTGAGATTAACATGGACGAAAGATATGTAGCAGTGATAAAGGAAAATGGAGGGTACACAAAGTATTAGGATGGAGCAGACTAATTCAAAACATGTCGTACGCTTTCATTTTACTTGCGAGCCATACTGAGAGCTTCGATGTAGACTTTTGTGATACAGATGAATTATTTTTGAAATAGACGTGTATTTTTAGAGAATATCAATTGATTTTTTTAATTTTTTAATTTAAATGAGGACCATTCTACTTTTTCTTTGGTGTTGAAAACCATCCCCATAATTTAGACTTTCACAGAATGTCATTGGATAGTACCCCTTGCTTGTATAACTAGTCGATAAACTAGACATGGGCCTGCATGAAGACTAAATCATTCTAATCAATATGCACAGGGATCTAAGCCCAGTAGTTTTGACAATCTTACCTTTGCCATCCTTAAGAGACTGCACATAGTTATAGACTCATTAGGACAATAAACACTCACACACTCTCGTCGTAGGAATGGAGCCACACTACAGTCTCTTAAGGATGGCAAAGGTAAGATTGTCAAAATTACTGGGCTTAGATCCCTGTGCATATTGATTAGAATGATTTAGTCTTCATGCAGGCCCATGTCTAGTTTATCGACTAGTTATACAAGCAAGGGGTACTATCCAATGACATTCTGTGAAAGTCTAAATTATGGGGATGGTTTTCAACACCAAAGAAAAAGTAGAATGGTCCTCATTTAAATTAAAAAATTAAAAAAATCAATTGATATTCTCTAAAAATACACGTCTATTTCAAAAATAATTCATCTGTATCACAAAAGTCTACATCGAAGCTCTCAGTATGGCTCGCAAGTAAAATGAAAGCGTACGACATGTTTTGAATTAGTCTGCTCCATCCTAATACTTTGTGTACCCTCCATTTTCCTTTATCACTGCTACATATCTTTCGTCCATGTTAATCTCACTTAACGGAGGCTTCTTCCGAGCAATGCGTCTGCTGTAACCTCTTTTTTTGAGTGCATTAGAAATTAAACGTTCACTGCATCCCTAGTGGCTGAAGGATCCCATTGCTAGTTTCAAATAGCATATCTGTCGATTTTCAGAAGATTCCCAGACGAAAGCCTCAAGCTCATCATCTTGTTCCACGCTTAATTTGGTGAGGGTCCTTTGCAAGACATAGGATTCACACTCTCTCGAGGACATGCAAGTTGTACTTGTCTTACTGTGAAGCCAAGTTTGTCGGATATATTTTGAAGTGTCAAGCCAAGTCTTCTTAATGCTCTTATTTCAATACCCTGATCGCGAGTTAGATGCTTGCGAACTTTAGTTTCTGAAGCAGACTTTTGGAGAGACATTGTTTGCTAGAATAGAGGATGAATTGATAGCGATGTTGAGCTCCAGGGACTGTGTAAGTTAGGCAGCCAAAAGTTTTTTTTTGGTTTTTGTTCATTAACGTGCTAAGTTACATGACTACCGTTGCACTCCTATTGGAGCTTGAGCACGTGTAGGGTTGGGCCGGATCAGGTTAACTACCGAGAAGTACAGATAAACCTCGTCCCACTTTAATGACCGGAACACCTCATACTTCACCTATGTGTTGAATCACACCAAGCCTAACCGTCCAGAAGCCCGCTGTGTACACGCCGTAGCGCAGTTTCCCCCTCAGCCTCGGCTACCATGCGCCCGAGCCCTTGACATCGTCATTGACTCCGAGATATAAATGCCGTCCAAGATCTCATCGTTGCTCTAGCCTTGCACCTTCATATCGTATCGTTGGGTTGTTGAAGTCATTGGAGATTTGTGTAATCCCCTCGGTGTATCTTTCCTTTTCTTCTTCCTTTGTACACGTCCTGTTTCCGTCATGACTTTCCTCATGAGGGCGTGTATAGGTAGGTGATCGGACAAGTATGGAAGTTGATTGCAGGTATAGGATCGACTGAGAAATGCTTCGTCGCAAATATAAAAGGAGTTTAAGAGATGTCGGATGTTTCAATAAGACCCCCAGATAGGCCTAGGCCCATTCGTGAATCGTATGTTAGTGGTGATGAGTTTTTGTTCAACTTTGTTCCGGCTGTGAAATCTTTGTCGACTGATTTATCGACCAAAATGTCGAGTGCAACTCCTTCAAGTCGAGAATCCATCAAAAAAAATTCATCCCATCCTTTTTCGTGACTGAATCTCGGCTCTAGGAGAATATTTCACTCCCAGGTTCGTAGAGGACACCACTGACAGGTGTTCAGCCTTCGTCCTCCAGGCAGCCAAAAGTGTCGTTGAAAATGTGTTTTTTCTAACCGATTGCTAGAAGAAGACGATTGGACCATACTTCGTGGCGAGCGGGGTAAGGGGGTCAGTCTGACCTATTGCGAGCTATTCCAGCTGCGGCTACAGGGCTGATCCCTTAGACAAGCCAGTTTGAAGTTTTACCTTTTCCAACCCAGAGGCACTGTATCTACGCCTCGGGTAGTGTGCTCCCTCATATGCGCCCTTCAAGACATCTTTCCAGCAGTAATACCCCCACAGGTCTTCATTTGAGTACACACTAAGAGGTGCCGTTATCCCGTCATTATTTTCCCTCTCCAGCCAACGAAACGATGAACATTTGCGGGTGTATAGCTGCAGGAAAAAGTCTCAAAAACCACTGGGTGCGGGGCTATCCTATGATGAAGAGGCCGACCAGCCGGGCGCAGCAGACCTCTGTATACCTAAGAGCGTCTCTCAACCTTCCTAGCCTCATCCTTACCCCTACCTTGATTCGTGCCGCAGGACAAACCGAAGGTCGTAAAAGGATTTCAAAAAAGTCTTGGTCGAGGTTGACTGCCGTGAAGGAGCCTAGCCTAGCATCCAAACGCCGTTACGGACGTTGGGTTGTCGAATAACTCATGTATTTCAGAAGCCCTCCTTGTTAATAGATTCGGAGTTATAGATCAGTAGGGACGATACTATTGACGAGTCGAAATCTGCTTTTCTTGAGGGCGGAAGGGTCTTTTACTTTGCTTTCGTGGGCTTTTTGTTCGCCCGCCGATGGATAGCACATTTTGTGATATAACGAGGGCTTCTCTGACTACCGTTGTAGCGTTGGGTACCGCATTATCTTTCCTCATTCCCAGCATCATTGTCATCGTCTTGGTCGTCTTATGTGTTATCGGAAGCGTATTTTTGACGGAGGGGGAGATAACCAAGCTCAAATTTGATAAGGTGTTACTCAATCTCGGCTCTGCAGACTCTACAGTAAGAGCTGGAGGTTCGTAGGGGACACCACTGACAGGTGTTGAGTATAGTCCCCCAATGACGAGAGAACACAGGTTGAATGATTTTATTTTCCTCGCACTGATTTACTTTATAGCTCTCTTTCTCAGTTGGCCTTAATTTATGCATAGGTAAGGTTAGTTCAATGCAAAACGAAAGGTATAAAAGTGAGGTACGTATTATTTCTTATGTCTCTATGCAAGAACATTATGAACCTAGGGTTCGTTGTAATAGCGCAGTCAATAAGGCAATGTCTCAGCAACGGAGAAATGCGACACACTTAGTGCATACCAAGCACAAATATTTTACAACACCTTAACTACTTTTGATGGTCTTGACCAATACCTTTTTGCATGACCACGCAGTCAAACCACGCTCCTCCGCTTTAACTTCAGTGAAGCTCTTTCCATCGAACACCTACACGGAATAAATGTTGCAGACGTGAGAAATCCACGACGCTAGTTTCGATATCAACGCAGCAACGTTAAGAATATTAAGAGGTGTTAACTAAAGTGGGCCGAGTAGAGGGGTAAAATGATACAAAAATCGGCAAGGTGATTTATCGAAAATAAGTCAAATAATGCCAAAGATAGGGCTGGAATCACGCTGTAGATTTGAGAGGGAGTGTTGCCGGATCATTTGGTGTTGGTAAACAGTAGAGCAAGTTCAGAATAATTCAGTTAATTAATGAAATCTGGGGATTGAAGATCGTTTACTTCTCGCTGTATGCCTAGGGAATTGTAATTATCAGTGCCGATCATTACAATACATGTTGCTAAGCAACCACATCCAGACCGCAACATTGGTAGCCCACGTAGCTGGCTAGGCCCTATATTCCATCCCTACCGTACTGGCGCAGACAGTGCAAATATAACGGATCAATCCCGTAACAAGAAGCATGGCTTTGGCAGTTTTTTTTTTTTTTTTTTTTTTTTAATCATCTTTGGCAGTTTTGCTGGCCGAAGAAATAGAGGCTGCAAGAATCACTATGTCTTCGGATTTAGTCCTAATGTCAGTATTAGATGAGCCCCGCACTAAGTGGTTTTTTGCGATTTTTCCCGGCTGCCATACACCCGCAAGTGGCCATCGTTTCGTTGGCTGGAGAGGGGAGATAATGAAGGGCAAAGGGCTTCTCTAAGTGTATGATCGAATGAGGACTTGTGAGGGGTGGTACTGTTTGAGGTGAGCTGTGTGGGAGGCATAGGAGGGGATATACTACTGGTATAGGTATCCTTGGCCTGTAGGCAGAGAGGATCTGCATGTCCTACATAGTCATAGACTCAGACAGGACAATAAAATGAAAAAAAAAAAATAGAGGCTGTAATCAGGCAAAGGGGGAAAGGCGAGACAGGTCAGGGATGGAGCCTACACTGGCTGAAACATTGTGGACGCACTACCCAAGGGCAAATCGATAATGGCGCAGAATCAATTAAGACAATCAAGCGAGTTTGCACTACAAGATTTCTGTTGGTATCACAGTTATTTGAGACCAGCTGAGGCGTTGGAAATGGCGACGTTATGTTCTGAACTTACGGACCCTACATTTCATCAAGGTTACTGAGACATTCCTCATTCTTTTAGCTGTAGGCTTGGCATAACGCTCATTTGGCCATCCTCTTTCCTTCCTGAAATATTGCACCCACTTCATTGCGCGATATTCCCAATAGGCACGGTGGGTGTGGCAACGGCAACAAAGTCGGGATGGGGTGGGGAAGAATCTACTTTTTTCAATGGCAGACGGTCGTGGAGATCTCTTGGTTCATTCCGGGACGCTGGACTCGTTATGATCCACCACACTGATGCGTTTTAGCATGGTTCTGGTCACTCGCATGGAACGAGGTATATTTTGTACTTTTCACGGTAGCCAACTTCAGACGATTGAGTCCCACTCATGCGTAAGATCTATCTAGAGTACTATTGGTGTCGTCGGCGCGCTATGCCCACCAGAATCGAGTTATCAGTCGATGTGGTACGGCCGAAGTTCAATGCTAGTGCCTTACTATGTGTCTAGATTAATCCCTATGCTCGGACTGCGCGGGACGAGAGAACAGACAAATATCGGCAATGAGCCGGGGCTTGCGGGCGGCGTGACTTTTCGCTCGGCCCGGATGTCGCAGCATGGAGAATGGCCCTGTGAGCCGATACGAGCTAGGGTCGCGGATAGCCCAAGGCGTGTGCGCTGGCCCGTCCAGCTGTCAAGGGGCCAGCTAAGCTCCTGACCACCGAAGGCCTTCTTCCCATCTACTTAACTCGCGCACTCCGCACTTCCTCTCTGGTTTCTTCGTCGGCCTAACTCCCTCGCTCCTGGAGAAGGGGTATAGGCCGCCTCGTCTCCCAGCGTCCGGCAGAACCCTCATTCGTGCCAGGGGGGTTAAGTGGGCCACGTCACGGCTCGCTCAGCAACGACTCCGCGGTAATGCAACCTCATCCTGTCTCCGCCCGCTGTGCCTCATGCGTCGACACGAATCGAGGCGTTCCATGGAGGCTTGTGCGCTTCTACCAGTGGAGTAATCAAAAGATAGGTGTATCTTGGCCGATATCCCAAGACCCACGGCATACTAGATAGAACCGAGGCTGGTTGCAGCACTAAGATTCCCCTTAAGTTATCGTCGGGTTTAGCCACCCGGGCCATTGGAGGCAAGTGAGGCCGATCCACATACTGCTTGTTCCCTCCCAAAAATCGGGATTCTTTTATGATCTACAAATGTGTGAAAAAACTTTCTCCACTACACGTATGATGGAGAGTGCTGATATAATGGCTAGGTAAGTGGTATACGTTCAATTATTTTCAAAAGAATTTCATGATAATATTTTTATGCAAGTCATTACTTTGATAACTCCTGTACTATGCTCAATCCAACAAAAATATCGTTAACGGTTTCAACACCCTGGCCTCTTCACATTGAATCCAAATCAACCCTGGACTCGTGCCCGGTCCAGTACACCCCTTCGCCCGCATTAAAAATTATAAGGCTTAGTTAAAGTTTTCCGAAAAGCCATCTTCATAGCTGCCTCGTCGATGCGCTGACCAATTTCCAGTGCTAGAGCTAATGCTTTCCTTACCGGGAAATCCAGAAAAGTTTGCCGCGTTATTTCGCAGTCTTCGCTCTTTCTCAAATTCACCCCACCGCTTCATGGTGATCTTACTACTATCAAATTCGCCCTCGTACTCGATGCCTGCCTTTTTGGTTTTTTCACCATCTGTCTTACGGGTATCTCCCCATGAGAAATCATCAAATTTCCAAAATGCATAGGTCGGAAGTACAAAATTCCAAATAGGAAGGGAAAAGAGATAAATGATCATCCATACAACGTATGACCATCGATGTGCAGTGAGTACGATAAGGACAGCTGGAAGTCCCAGGATGAGGGCCAGAAGAACTAGTGGTATAATCTGCGGTGGTGAGTGTACTATTGATATAGTAACTACATCCGTTAGCTACGTTCAGATTGGATAAGATCAGTTTACTCACCAACATAAAAGGTAAAGACAATGGCAGCAGGTAGGACAAGAGTGCCGATTAACTCTATCGCAACTACAAATTGCATGCTAAAGCAGAATGTCCCGCAAAGATCTCTCACGAAAACTAGCTCCATGAGATTATGTATGGTTGAGTTGATCCATCTTCGACGTTGAGACAGAAGCACACTAAAACTCTCCGGAACTGTAGTCTTACAGACGGCCTGGGGAACGAATACTTGTTTTCGCTTTGGAAACGTCCTGAGCATAAGGGTAGATAGATAACGATCTTCCCCGAGCAATAGTAGGTTCTTTTTGTGCAAGGTATCCACAACATTTTCCGAGTAATGTTCCACTACATCGGGATTGGCCAGGATGGGAACCCAATAATTCTGGCCTCCCTTGGGTGCCTTAATTCTGTACATGCAGAAGCATCCGGGTAGACAAGTGACTCCACCAAATACTGATTCGAAAGATTTGGACAGATGATGAGAGATAAAGTACTCAAATACTTGAATCATAGAGACCCAGCTTTCCCTTTTATTTGCAATTTTGGTCTCTCCGCAGAGACCCATGATGTCTGGATCCTGAACCATGGCCGAAATCATGTGAGTTAAACTATCAGGAAATACCTTTGTATCAGCATCAACCATTAGTACTATTTCATAAAAATCGGGCGAAATGCCGGTGATCTTCCATAGACCATTGAACATCTCAAATTCAAGCTCAGTCATTCGCTCATCGAACATAACTTTTTGAAGAAATGACATCAATATAATCTGGCTGTCACGTTTGCCACGATTTCCAGGTTTACTCTTACTAGCCTCATCAGGGGTTCCGCATTTGACAATACACATCATTGGGACGCGCTGTTGCTTTTCAACGGGAATGGTAGAATTGGCGCCATAGTCATAGAAACCAGCATATACTTTAGCCATATTGTGCCTCTTTGATCCAGTTGAAACTGCGACGTAAGAGAAGGCAGGAACATCATCAGGATGTATCAGGTGATCCTTCATCATTCCAAGGATGACGTCCGGCGTGGATTTGAGCTCTCCTTTACCTGTAATTATCCCATCACAGACGACCAAGATTGTCTTATGACTGTTTGGATAGTCTGTTATAGCTATAGAGTCAAGCGTCGTTCGCACACCAAGTTCTCCCTCTGAATAAGCCGTCACCAAACAAATTGAATGAGCTAGAGGATAACCGAAAGGCTGCCAATCAGCTGGAGGTTGGGGTACAACTACGTCATGAACAAATCCTGCTGGACCTGGGCCTTCGTAATCGTTAGTACTAGTAGTGTAACATTGGGAATCCCTGGTCGTATAACTAGAAGCTCCATCCTGTTGTCTGAATCCTGAGTTTGGTGGAATAAGGGCAGCAGATGATGTTTGGCTGGCCATCGTCGTGGGCTGAGCACGTCCGATCTTAGAGATTCTATCACCAGCATATGGGCTGGTGAAACGAGATGTCCGTGGTAAAAATGCACTACTCCTCTTGCCCTGTCTATCTGATTGAACAGCTGCACTCCTGATATCACTTGGAATTTTGGGTGGAGCCCGATGTATGTCATCGCTCCATTCCTCGATTTGGCGATTTCTCTTTTTTGGGTCCGAAGATTGTGATGTCTTGGACGCAGAAAACTTTCGACTGAAAAACCATTGAAATAAGAGCGCGAGAATAAACTTCGATAAGACAATCGACAGTATGAAGACCAAAGAAACGTAGAGAACCACTTTTGAAGAGATACAGCCAACGCTTTCTGTGTCTACAGAGCCAACTTTTATAATCTGCTCGAAACATTGAGCCATCTGCTTGTCTGTTTTGGTTTGAAAGGAATGAGTTACATCTCTACCGTGAACTGCCGCATTGAGGAGACTACCCCTGTTGCTAAGCTCTTGGAATCTTGGTGGAATAGTGACCTGAGAAGTATTGAACCAGTTGAGAAGATCAAGATCGAGAACATTACCAGAGTAAACTATCAAGTTTCTCGACGAATTCTTTATATCCTCCCAAGTAAAATAGACGTCGCCAACGCTTTGAAGATCATAAAATGCCTCTCGTGCGCTACCAATCGTATGACACGAATACCCGAGGTATTGAGGTATGTTTTTATCAGCAGAACTGGACCCGTCTTGGTTGAAGGTTTGGCACGGAAAATACCAAGCTAGGTCTTTCGCATTATTTGTCGGAATATCGGAACCCTCACTTCGGGTGATCAGACCTTTGCATTTCCCGTTGACCTTCTGGAATAGGAAACTACCATCTTGACCCCCGTGTTTTTCAGGAAGATCGTAGAGTACATTTGAGCCACTTGGGATACCTCTTGCAGCAGGATGTCTGGACTTAGACAAATCATACGCGCTTCCGTGAAAAATCATAAATCCACTATCTATATGATTGACGCGAAGCCGAAGAGCTGGATTTTTGCAAACAGTTTCAGTGAAGCCGAAAGTAAGAAACCCAACAAATGCCATAATGAGTAGTATAATGCTAATGAGGCCCATCTTTTCTCGCCACGCTCTCTGCTGAGCCTTTGCCGGCTTGCCGAATATTTTGAGAATAAAGTCTGGACACCATATGGTCACAGTAGCACAGTATACGTTCCATAGACTTGGCGGACTTACAGCATCGATTTGCTTTTGAAATTCTCTTTCTTCCTTCGTCAATTTCTGTCGCCGTTTTAGCTTTGTGGGATTTCTCGACGGGATTCCCTCTTTCTCATCTTTTTCGCTGTTTACTGGTCTTGTTCCTTTGACTCTAATTTCCTTTGGAATAACAAGCTTATCTGAGTCAATCTCAATTGAGCTACCTTGCCAAGCAGTTTCCGACGCATCTCCTTCCCTGTCCATTTTTTCTAGAATGGGATCATTGCCAGTTGATGAGGGTAGGACACTCATGTTAACTGCATGTTGACGATAGTGGTAATTTGGATGTTTCAAATCGATTCGATTTCTCTCTGGCCGAATCAAGCTCCTTTTTCTACCTATCTCATGAGAGACTGGTGATTTCGCGCCGGAGTAAGCAAGCTCTGATGCGACAGAATTTGTTCCGGCAATCGAGCTAAAACCACCTGCATTTACTGAGGGACTGTTAGGATTTTCTCTTTGATGCACCTGTGATAACGATGGTGCAGGTGAATAGTGTCCGACTTCCTCATCTTGAGGGTTGCGCCTAGGTCTTCGATATGCATCACGACTGTGTTGAGGATACTCGATCGCATCATGCCTCTTAGGCAATGACATATTTCTACGAATGAGTATTAGTGACCAATTGACTTGATTTATCTTCGAATGTAACTTTTACCCGAAAAATATTCAGCAAGGTCGACTAGAATGAATCAAATTTCCCGAGAATAAACTTTATTTGTTCTGAAGCGGGCTTTATGGTATTTAAAAAGTAATACGTAATGGCTCAATTACTTTAAAATTAGTTCAAAGTCATTGGTGACAATTTTGAAAGACAATTGCGAAAGTTATTTTTCAATGAAACTGCCAGATAGATAATGATCTGTAGTCCGTCGTATGAGTAAGAGCCAATTTTAAGATGTTGTATTGAGCACTCTAGATAGTATACATCTTCATCCTTCTCGTCTGTACCGATTTGTTATCTTTGGTGTCTAAAGAGCTGATAGCGATGATGTGAGAGGAGCCTTTCCGGCTAGACTTAATCCGAAAGTATTATGTATGAATAGCCTATATCATGAAGCTGCGCAATCAAATTGAAAATTCTAATTATGCGTACGGACATGAACGGTGCGGTGAGAGTCTTCGAGGAGCGTGCTAAGGGACGAGCAGTACAATAGCATAACGAACTAATGGAGCCGGGGTGGCGGGGGGGACGACTAATGACAACAACAAATTGGGTAGCCAGAGGATAAGATCGGTTAAAAGGCTTAGTAAATAAACACCATGTTGCCGAGCGTCCCCTACCAAGCCACTAAAGCCCCTGATCTAAGAAATAGTTAGCTCCACTTTCCTGCAAGGTGTGGGCCACCTTATTTCATAATTTGTCCCCTCAGGTCAAGGATAAGTACTCCTTTGGAAATGAAGGATGATATTCACATCTCCCAACTTGGGTTTCCTTAGCTAATCTCGAGATTATAAGCTCACCGGATTCTAGACTCAATCACTAAAGAAAGTAAATTGTAGAAAATTGCCTAGATAGTTGCATCGGAAAACCTTTGCTTGGTAGTTTCACTCGGGAAATCTAGTTAAGGGGATTCATCAAACCAGAGGGATCAAGCGAAACGATACGTATAACAGACAAATTAGTTTGTTTAAAAATTTTTGACATCATATACTAACAAGAACAATTTGATACTCGTTCAATCCCCACAAAAATTCATGGGGACGAAACTCAACGCCTGGTAGTGGTGTCCCACGAGAACCTCCAGCTCTCACTACCGAGCATGCAGAGCAGAGTCTGAGTAATACCATCGTCTTCATTTTGATAAGAATTCCCAATAGCCTTCGCAGTCTGTATCGTCCTCACTACTTAAGACAGGTACCCACAAGTCTGCAGCGCACAGCTGGCCAGCCTCTTCGAACGCTTCAGAAGGGGCACTATGTCTTCGGATCTAGTCCTAATCTCAGTATTAGGAGAGCTCCGCACCCAGTGGTTTTTGTAATTTTTCCCGGCTGCCATACACCCGCGAGTGGCCATCGTTTGGTTGGCTGGAGAGGGGAGATAATGAAGGGCAAAGAGGTCCTCTAAGTGTATGATCGAATGAGGACTTGTGAGGGGCGGTACTGTTTGAGGGGAGCTGTATGGGAGGCATAGGAGGGGATATACTACTGGTGTAGGTATCCTTGGCCTGTAGGCAAAGAGGAACTACATGTCCTACATAGTCATAGACTCAGACAGGACGATAAAATGAATTAATAATACATAATAACTTCTTTGCATATCCCCCTATCACCATTATCATGAAGCTAATCACAATCAGATCTGATTGTAGGGTCGCAGCCCTGCACATCTCCAACCCTTGATTATTAGAGAAAAGCTGTCCGACGAGTTTCCGAAGCATACCTAGCACCCGATACGGCGATGATGGAACGGATCAAGATGGCCTCCAATATTACGGACAAGGGAGATATAGTTGGATATGCGCACCTCATGTGGCTCTGGTGTCTAGGCCAAGCCTTGCTGGGGAAGCAGGCTTTTTTAGACTTTTCCTGCGCATGCAGTTTCCATCAGTACCGTTTTTATTCTTCTGGGTATAAGATTCCGTGGAAAAAGTTGATGAATTCCACAGGTAAATACTAAGCTGAATGGCTATCTTTTATGGGCAATGTATCAGAGATCTTTGAAGTAACAAAAGAGGATGGGTGTCAAACATGGGATTGTCTGGGTTGTGTAGCTTCCGTTAAACTACGTCGTTTGATGAGTCGTGGTGCATAGTTGAGGGCTGTTTCGGGTCGGCATGTTTACCCAGATGTTTGAAGGGCGGTCTCAAGCAGAACTACAATGTTTCTAGAGAGGATTAATCCTGATACACAACGGTAGGATTCCTAAGCACTTTGTCGTCACATATAGATACTCCCAAGAGACGTATTTGTATACAGGGAAGTTTCCTCCAGAAAAGAAAATGAGAATTATCAATGTACTTTCGTTTTACATTTTTCAATTGATTCATAGAGTCTAAAAATAGGTGCTTTGTAGAATGTGTGGCCTGGGTCAGAGAGGAGCCCAATGTGCAAGATAATCATATACTCATGTGATTCAATATACAAAACCCATTAACATAATTCACAAAATCCTATCTCATGATACGTAAATCTGCTAGTTGTATCTACATCGTTTAGTAAGAAATTTAATCAGAACACACAAGCTTTCCTCAACATTCATTCCACTTTATTTTCTTCACTGAAAGCCAGGTGAAAATTTAAATTGATTCGGACCATAAAATTAACTTATCCTCGGCCATGTGTGACTTGTAAGAAGATGAATTATGAACACCTTTCAGCTGTGATCTCTACGAACTCGTGAGTCAAATTTTGCTCTAGATCCAATATTCAATCAAAGTATCCAAAGATATTTGTCCTACAAGGTAATGACTCTAGAATTTCATTCACGTTTATCCTACTCTGCCAACAGTATCAGGTTTCAATCGGGGGACTATTCTCAACACCTGTCAGCGGTGTCCCTTACGAACCTCCAGCTCTCACTGTAGAGTCTGCAGAGCCGAGATTGAGTAACAAAGTCCTCACTTCGACAAGGATTCCTAATCGCTTTCGCGGTCTGTATCGTCTTCAACTCTCAACCCATCCCCCTATCACCATAATCATGAAGCTAACCACGATCAGATCTGATGGTAAGGTCGGAGTCCCACTCATCACCAAACCTTGACCATGGAGGAGATGCCATCTGATGAGTTTCCGGAGCGTACCCAGCACCCGATATGGAGATGGCGGATTGGATCAAGTCGACCTCGACTGTTACAAAGAAGGGAGATATAGATGAATATGCGCACCTCATGTGGTCCCGGTGTCTAGACCTCGCCTGCCTGGGGCTGCAGATTTTCTGAGACTTTTTCCCGCGCACGCAGTTTCCATTGCTACCATTTTTTTTGGGTAGAAGGTTCCGTGGAAAAGGTGGCCGAATTCCACGGGTAAACACTGAGCTGAATGGCTATTCATCAAGGGGAATATATCAATGATATTTCAAGAAACAAAAGAGGCAAGGAGCACTGTACAAGGTATGATCTTGGCAAGAGAGGAGCCCAATATGCTAGATATTCACAGACTCAAGTAGTACAACAAAAACACATACTCTATGAACCTAGGAGTGAAATAATCCTCCATAATCAAGTCCAGTCAAATGTCGCAATACTTAATAAGTTGGCCCACGAGGCAAAGATTAAATTACTTCACCACATCAATTTTTCACTCCCAAAGAGTCCGACTTATACCCAAGCCTTATCAAGTCTAAAAGTTCGACCCAGTGCTTCCTCATTGCAATTGATTAAACCTTTGTTCGACTTTCTCTGGTCTCAATTGGTCACCAATACACGTCCATGCCGATATTTATAACCGACGGAAGAAACAAAGCGTGGCGCACAAATCTGGAAGACAGTTCTTTGGGATGGACGTGAGAGGGATTAGGACAAGTTCACAAGAAAATACTGAGGGTGGATACAGTCTCATCGGACGTGAAATTTTGAATATTGGCAAGGAGTTTTAACATATTGAGCTTTGTGCGTACCAAGTCTTCGGTTGCGAGAGTGCGGGCGACACTATAAACATCGCCATGGCTGGATGGTGCGGTAGTACATCGTCTTGGTCGGTCTGCCAAGTAAAGTCTGGATAGCTTGGACACCTATCCCACTCGAGACAGTAGATCGCTGGTTCAAATCCAGCAAAACACAAACACTTTTCTCGCGGCGCTGGTATGAATGGATGATGAAGGCATGCTTGGATAACCAAAGGTTTTGAAATTCCCTTTGGTGGGTACTTACGGAGGAGGGTCAACTGTTTGTGTAAGCAAACATACCTCATAGTGGTATTTGCGAATGAAATCCAAAGTATGAGTGTCTGTTAGATAAAAACAGTCATACAACACGTACACAAAATACCGGTCATGTACCATAGATAGATAGCTGAATACAAATAAAAATATTTAAATAAAAAGGCTGACTAATGGTATTAAATTTATTTATAACCACTGCGACCCTCCGACAATGCTTGGGGCCGGGGCGCTAGGCGGTGCAGGCTTGTTCCATCGTATGGTGGCTCGACCGGCCTGCGGGTCGAGCCCTGCATTGTAACCAGATTATTTAACGACCGAAGTTGCTGTAGGTGGCAAAGGGCTTAGCAAGTGCTTCTAGAAGACGATCATCAATGCACAGCTAATGTAACCAGCTTTTTGTCATTTGATTTTCTAGACGAATGTTCTAAGTAACTATCGTCTTCTACACCCCTGAGGATCTTACTAAAAGCGGGGTTAGGCTTAATTGGGTTGACTACCAAATACTGCATAAATAACTGGTGGAATGACTTCGCGACCCAAGAGTAAATGTAGACGATTTCATCACCCTGCAGCGGGGCCGGTGTAATCGCTCAGTATGCTCTGCATATTTAGGAAAGCAAAGAAGAATCGCAACCGAATGGAAGTCGAGAGTAATCTCAAGTATCTCTAGTAGCGATCACTTCTCATCGAAGACGCATGTATCTTTCTCACGCGAATCCTTCAAACTACTCATACCACGAATCAACTCACCTCAACAACTGGTTAAGTAGTCACA